CTTATTTATCCACATATTTTACTGAGAAAGCGTGAAACTTATTTCATGTATCGGAACTGAATATGTGGCAAGATTTGGGTTCTTGGTAAGGTGGCGATAGTTGTGCTGTTGCGGTGAGCCAACCATCTGATTATTTTTATAGATAATAGCACTGTATATTTCTCAGCTTCATTGGTTTTGCATATAGTGTGTCTTTTACACATATGCTAGTGTGAAGACATTTTGGGTTGCACAAGTGTACTATTCCATAACGAATAAAATCCCATTTCAGGTAAAAGAGATCCTGATTGAGGAGTCAAATGTGCAGCCTGTTAACAGTCCGGTTACAGTTTGTGGGGATATACATGGCCAGTTTCACGATTTAATGAAACTCTTCCAGACTGGAGGTCATGTACCAGAAACGAATTATATTTTCATGGTCAGTTTACACCTTCTCTTTTCAATTAAACTCTGGCAGTGTAGTAGTGTTGGGGATCATTTTATCAAACTGTCGTGGTGCTATCTTAGTAGAGTTCACATATAACTAATCTGCAGGGAGATTTTGTTGATCGTGGATATAATAGTCTAGAAGTTTTCACGATTCTTTTGCTGCTTAAGGCAAGGTTAGTTATACCTTTGCATGTATGCTCATGTTTGCATTCTCCATTATTATATATGATCGCATCAAAGATAAATTTGCTTGGTCACACACATAGAAATTTAGAATTGCCTTATTGTTCTGTAATTCTAAAAATATTGTTTGGATGAAGTGTGACCAAACGTGACAAAAGATCACTGATTTTTTTACACATTAGTGAAATTTACATCATCTTTAGGTGACCTTCACTATTAATGTCTCTGAAGTATGAACAATATCAAGGGGTATATTTAGCTCATGCCTTTTTCTATTTCAACTCTAATTACTTTTTCATATATATATATGTGTGTGTGTGTGTATGTATGTATGTATATATATATTCAGATTTCTGTACAAAAATAAATACACACTTTCATGGATATGTTTTATTATACCTTCATATTTGGAGTGTTAAGTGTGTATTAAAAAACTTTATTCAGTTTCTGATACATACTGCACCTTGTTTTTTCTTACAGATACCCAGCTAATATTACTCTTTTACGTGGGAATCACGAGAGCAGGCAACTAACACAGGTAATAGGAATTTAAATTATGCTATTTTCCTTATAAGTTGCTCCTTTTTATGGGTTTTGGGGGACATTTTCTTAACTTGTTCGCCATTTTTTAAAACTTTTAAAAATGGGCTTAGTTCTTATTTTTATACACTTATATACCTATAGGTTTCTTTTGTTAAATTACAAGAACAGTTATACACCCATATGGGCCCAATTCCCCCAAAAGAGCCTTTCTTTAATAGCACTAGTAATTTTTGTCCAAAAAATGATTCATATTTACATACAAAATCACATGTATTTCTCAATAAATTTCCAAAAACCGCTACACAAACAAATGAATGTGAGTATGTGATAGAACAACATACCAGGTAAATTCCCAGAAATAGAGTCTGGGAGCAGTGGGTGTACGTTGGGTCATAGCCTTTCAGATTTTCTTTTGTCTAATGAGTAGTTATCATTATACTTAAAATCTCTTTCATCTTTAATAGGTGTATGGTTTCTATGATGAATGCCAAAGAAAGTACGGAAATGCCAATGCTTGGCGGTATTGCACAGATGTCTTTGACTATCTAACTCTCTCAGCAATCATAGATGGAACTGTATGTCTGCTACCCACTGCCAGTTTCTTTGTTACATTGAACATTGTTTTTGGCGTCTATCATACTGTGATAGAGCTTGCTTTCTTTTTTGCCAGGTATTATGCGTCCATGGTGGCCTTTCTCCAGATGTTAGGTCTATTGATCAGGTACATTTAATGTTATGCTCCTTTTTATAACTAACCCTCTGAATATTTTCATTCATCATGATTTGAACATCGAATCGATGGCATCCATTTCACATTAAATCCATGGAGCCATGAGCCACTTGCTTGCTCTTATCTTTTCTGAGGGAATGAATCCTTAATATTTGCACTTTAATTAATAATACCCTTGCAGATAGAATAAATTGAATGTTTTCAGGTCTTGTTTCTTTAGTTCTTTGTCCCTTGGCGGTCCATGTAGTGTAATTGTTCATGGTTACACATCCTAACCTAAATTACTCTCTAAAGTTTTTATATCTTGCGTTGCACAGATCAGAGTCATTGAAAGAAATTGTGAAATACCCCATGAAGGACCCTTTTGTGACCTCATGTGGAGTGACCCTGAAGATATTGAAACTTGGGCTGTCAGTCCTAGAGGAGCAGGCTGGCTCTTTGGCTCTAGGGTTACATCTGAGGTATGAGAGAGATTGCAATGTGTTAAAATTGGTTACATGCCCCTGTTTCTGCCGTTAATAATGGCTTTCTACTTTTTTTGGGGCAGTTTAATCACATCAACAAACTGGATTTAGTTTGTCGGGCACACCAGCTTGTCCAGGAAGGTCTCAAGTACATGTTTCAAGATAAAGGACTTGTGACCGTACGTTGTTTCTTTAACTTTTATTCTCTGCTCATTCTTAGTAGGCATGATATTTGCATCCTCATATTGTCCCCTGGTGCAGGTCTGGTCTGCCCCAAACTACTGCTATCGGTGTGGGAATGTGGCATCCATTCTGAGCTTCAATGAGAACATGGTACTTAGATTCTGATTAGCTATGCAACTACTCCACCCCACCCTCGTCCCAGAACTCCCCCAAAGTCTTATTTGACAAGATTTGTTTCTTTATCAAAAAAGTCCTAAAGAAATAACACATCACTTTTACTTAAACCAACAACAAATCCAGTAAAATCCTTCCACCAAAAAGTAGAAAAGGTAGGGTCTGTGGAGGTTGTGTGTACGTATGCAGACCTTACCCCTACTATGAAGGAGAGACTTTTAGTTAATCCAACACAAATTTGAAAATACAGATAGAATTGATGCTTCTCTATACTTCTCTTTGTCAAATATGACTCTCTTCGGGAGCAATGCAGTACTAATTAGTAATTAGCATCTATCTCTTGTATTTTATAAGTTCAACTGAAGCATGGTGAGTTTTGATCAATTGTTTCCATCCCCCTACAATTTCCCTCCCAAGCGCTGACATGAAGTGTGATACACGCAGGAGAGGGAGGTCAAGTTCTTCACAGAAACAGAGGAAAACAACCAAATGAGGGGACCCAGAACAGGCGTTCCGTATTTCTTATGATGCATCAGTTGACACTTCTCCTGTCTGGGGCTTGTTGATCTAACACCCATAGCCCCCGCAGCCGCCCATTGTGCCCAACAGCCTGCTTCTACACTTGTGTTTTGAATAGTTTTGTGCTGTGTAGTTAATGATGAAGAAGATAATAGCATTTTGACCATTTCATTATTATTATAGTTATTATTATTGGTTAATACAGTGTTTTGTTCTTGATTTGATTTGATTTGTAACAACAGCTATTCGGTTCATATGGATGGATTGACCTCCGAAAAAAAAAAGAACTCCCTGCCTCCTATTTCCTGCTATTCTTTAGTCTCATTTTTTTACAGTGATTCAACATATACTTCCCCTACCCCCACCCCCACCCCACCAATCAATCCCATTCTCATTATTATGTATATTCCAAGCCTCCAAGGATATGGAATTATCTGCTTACTATGAAGTCTGAAGAAATAGTAGAGGCTCAATGGCCTTGTGATTATGTGAAAGTATGGTTTGATCATATGATATGTTTGTGCACACTATTGCTGGTTTGTCTATTTATATAGGGGTAACCCTTTATAAAGGTCTATATGACCATATATTACTCCCAAGTAATTCTTTTGTCTCTGGGTTTTGGAATAGGAATCAAAATTGTGAGGAGTTGAAGATGCATATGACAAATTTCTGATGGAGGAATGGTTCGCATGAGAGGCGAGCTGGTGAGGTATACGTTGGAAGCGGTGGGATAGGTTACGGCGACGCATGTACTTGGGAGGCTTAAGTTTCAAAGAAGTCCAAGAAATCAATCTTTCAAGAGGATGGATGTATTGGGCCGGAATGTGGGTCTATATTTTATGGACTCAGAAGAAGCTTGCGCCTCCCACAAGCAAGTGAGGAGTGAAAGCAAAGGTCCATGCTTGGCCTCATCGCTCACGGGCTCATTCTCGTCTGTAGCTAGGCTCTACCATCAGCATCAAGAAGCCTTAAGGAAGAAGGTCTGAGTTCGACATGGTCGAGCTCGACCATTAGCACATCAGGGGTGAGAGTTCGAGCTCAGCGTTGGCAAACTTGACTATTAGCACGTCCTAAGGGGCGAACTAATATCAAAGAATCTGATGCCCACTTCTTCAAATCACTCCCCATTTCAAGTTCAATGAGGTTACAGAGGAGCAGAAGTGTTCTTCTTACCCTAAATGCGTCGATCGGAATGATCTGAATTGGGGCGCTGAATTAGAAAGTTCTGATCGGCAGCCTAAATCGAAAATTGGGGACGAAGAGATCGGGGAAATAGTGTAGGTTAATGATACGTGTCGTGTTTGGTCTCGTATGGCGCTTGGCGGAGAAGAGGGGAGATTGGCACAGAGGAGAGAGAGAATAGGGTTAGGGCTTTAAGAGAGAATTTAAGGGAAGACAGATATTTTCATTTTTATGGTAGTTCTCTATTACGGAGTAATATTGATTTTAAAAAAAATAAGTTTAAAGCAAGGACAATGACAAGTAAAAAATAAAATTATACAAGGTGACAAAAAGTATTTTAGTCAAATCAAAATTTGTACAATCAATGCGTCGATCGAAATGCTCTGAATTGGGGCGCTGGATTAGAAAGTTCTGATCGGCAGCCTGAATCGAAAATTGGGGACGAAGAGATCGGGGAAATAGTGTAGGTTAATGATACGTGGTTGGTCTCGTATGGCGCTTGGCGGAGAAGAGGGGAGATCAGCACAGAGGAGAGAGAGAATAGGGTTAGGGCTTTAAGAGAGAATTTAGGGGAAGACAGATATTTTTATTTTTATGGTAGTTCTCTATTACGGAGTAATATTGATGTAAAAAAAATAAGTTTAAAGCAAGGACAATGACAAGTAAAAAATAAAATCATACAAGGTGACAAAAAGTATTTTAGTCAAATCAAAATTTGTACAATCAATGTGTGACAAATGAGTAGAGTTACTGCTCTCTTCATCAAATTCGTCTTCCATGCCAAGGGAGCCCTTCCGAAGGAGTTTCACGCGTTTATTTTCATCGTAGTGTGCCCGTCTATGCTCCTTAAAGCGCCTGCTTCTTTCTGAATCAGAACCTGCAAGGAATATATGACAAACAAGGGGATACCAGATCAGGATGCTCCAAATTAATTCTTGGGTACAAGATTATGGCAAAATGTAAGGAGAACTAGGGCATGCAAAACAATGTAAATAGTCAGATTTTTTTGTGGTTTAATATGGCAAAAAAAAATTGTTCGTGGAAATAAACCTTGCCACATAGAATCCAGGACTGACCCTGCAAGTTAAATGCCAACTGCCAAACTTGTGGCTGAAATCAAGATTCATAGTGTCTGTCTAAGGCCCTGTTGGGTAACAAGTTCTAGTTTTTTTTTTTAATATAAAATTTACTCGTAATATAAACCTGGCAATGATTGGACTGCTCCAGAAAAATGGGGGATTCATCATCCAGTAAAACAACTAGGAAAATGGTTTGTGCTGAACTAGAATACCTTCATCATCTTCATCCATTTCATCTGCCTCATCCTCAGAAGATGGCCATCCAGTTGGACGTGTTTTGTCATTCCTGGATTCAACATCTTTCAATGCCCTCTGAATAGCTTCAGCATGAATTCCATTGCCAGTGCCATCTTCAGAGCTATTCCGTATAGGAGACAAAGACCCTACCACAATCATTGATTCAGGTATAAACTAAAGGAACGAGAGCTAGATTCAAAAAAAGTATAAAGCATATGTGGACCCTAATACCCTTATGGTTGTATCATGCATCCACATAGAAACTTCACTGCTCAACGAAGAGTTCTTTAATTATTTCTCTGTTCTAGTTTGGTGAGGGGATTTCAGAGGGAAAAGGTGATATTTAGTTTACTCCCACTGTCTCTAAAACAAGTTCCCACGTTCCATTTTTATCTTCCCATAATTAATTCTCACTTCAATATTTGGTAAGTTTTTTATACTTAAAAGATTATTATACCACGAGTTAACTATGAATTTGGTCCCTGTGAAATGAACGGTTTTTGCTTTTAGTCACTCTAAAATATTATTTTATGATTAAGAAGTAGGGTAATTCTTATACCACCTCCCCTATTTTTCCAACCAGAGTAATAATTACTCCACTTTCACCCCATCCCCACAACACACCCTACTTTACGTTGTCTTCCTCTTTTTTTTTCTCACCTCATTCCCACGAATGGATGTGTAAATGGGGTGGGGAATGGGTTAGAAGGGTAAATTATTAAATCAGGTTTTTTGTACTTTGCTACTTTTCATAACTTCATTTACTGCAGCCACCATTCTACAAGGTCTAATGATTGAGGGGTAGTTCTGGAAAGCTATACGTGATTTTGACTTTCCATTATAATGTGTGAAGTCAAACCCACACTTTTTTTGGGGGATGGAGGGAGTATTAGTTTAGAAGTAGATTAGTTCAATAGAAAGGAAGTGAAGATTATAAAGTATAAAGTATACATTATTTAAGTAATTTAACAAAACAGATAATAATTTTCAGGTGTGGGCAAAACAAATATTACTTCATCCCACAATCCTTGTGTCTGGCCAAAGCAACTTTTAAGTTTCGGCAAGGTACAAACAACCACACATGTATCATGAATCATACTTACATGTTTAAACTTATGAATTGGTTTAACACAATTCAGCCTTTGAAACATGTAACCTTTTGGGGGGAAATTTCATGAAAAGTAGCATGATCGTGTTTTAAACCAGCCTCTATTTTTTAGAGAACAGGAATACCAACCTACTTTTCTAGATCTTCCTCTTCCAACAAAACTCCCCACAAAGGGTTATAGTAAGAGGCTCAATAAATAACAAATAGCAAATACAATCGTAACCTTAATCAAAGTAGGCTAACTAACAACCCAACGTGACACTACCATGTGAGAACTTGCAAAAGAATCCTTGATAAAGTAAATTAGAAATTCAAAAATAAAAACAACAAAATTGCATTAAAAATTTAATTTGAGCACACAAAACATGAGAGCATCATTAAGAAATGATACACGATTGAAACCTGGAGATATAAAGATTTATAGCATTCATTGTTGACATCTGACTTTCATCATTGAACCCATGCAGAATGATTTTCAAATATATGAGTGTGTGTGTGTGTGTTTTTTTTTTTTGGAAAATATAAAAAACAGACAATAGGGGCATAAGAAAAGTGAAAATTAAAATGTACCATAATCATCTTCATCGATCATTAGGTGATAAGGTGTCTTTGGCTCTGTGATTTTTTGCCTTACTGGTTTGATTGCCTCGATTTCCCCTAGATCAGTTTCATCCCATCGTACACGACCCCTGGCGCAGATCAAAAGTGAAAATACTTAGAAATAAATCACATTGGCCAGAAATAAATCACATTATAACAATATTTTTGTTCCGTTAAGGGGAAACCAAAGTTTTGGCCGCTCAAGTGTTAAACCGTACATAATGTAGCATCTATGTTCCAATGTAAATGTGGTCTCCAGATTGTTAAGGATATTGGAGCCAATCTGTTATGTCACTGACTAAGTGACTAGCTTATCACATACTAGTTTCTTAGAGGTGAGTGAAATTAAAAATTGTTGAATTCGAAAAATATCCATAAAAAGTACCTAGCTTATTACTATAGAAAAATGCTACGTGTCCAGCAAGACTAACCACCTTAGAATTTTCTCAGAATTTCATACTAATACAGATATTGATGGCCCGAGCGTCTGGAGAACTAGGATTAAGGTAGTCGGGTAGTTATTTGGACTTAGTGGTAGTTTATCCACTTGTTGTGTGCTTTGGTTGTCATGTAGGTTTGGGCTCTGTGCTTGGTGTGTTTTTGTTCCGTTTAATTAGTTTGTTCTAGGCCTCTATGTGCTTTTTGCTATCTCTGCTATATGCCTTCTGTGATCTCATTTTATCTTTACTGTTTGAGCCAAGGGTCTCTCGGAAACAGCCTCTCTACTCTTGAGTAGGAGCAAGGTCTGCGTACACACCCTCCTCCACCCTCCTCCAGACCCTACTCTCAACAACAACTTGCTCAGTGGTCCAATCCCTGGAGAGCTGTGCAATGCTGTTGCTCTCACAGATGTTGATCTGGGCAGCAATTTTCTCTCTGGAACCATATCTGAGACATTTATTAACTGCGCCAATTTAACTCACTCTTAGTCTTGAAATTGAACTCCAACCTTCTTGGAGGCGCCATACCCACTGAGCTTGGCCACTGTCTCTCCCTCTCCACATTAAATCTGGGTAACAATGAACTCAACGGCTCAATCGTTGAGGGAATTCCCAATTTGCCCCAACTCCAGTGCTTGGTTCTCTCCCACAACCGTCTCACGGGGCACATTCCTTCCAATGAGAATCCCAAGTATTTTCGCCAAGACACAATCTCAGATTCAACCTATGTTCACCACCGTGGAGTGTTTGATCTTTCGTTTAATCAGCTATCTGGGGAAATCCCAGAAGAGCTGGGGAGTTGCTTGGTGATAGTGGATCTTCTGCTTAGCAAAAACCGGTTCTCTGGGCTGATTCCTAAGTCTCTTTCACAGTTACCTAACCTCACAACACTAGACATGTCTGAGAATGAGCTTAGAGGTGAGATTCCAATGGAGTTTCGTCATGCTCTAAGTCTGCAGGGGTTATATCTGGGCAACAATTGTCTCGCCGGAGCAATGCCGGAAAGCTTAGGACTCTTGGTTGGTTTGGTGAAGTTGAACCTGACCGGGAATAAGCTCTCCGGCCAAATCCCATCCAGTTTTGGGAATCTCCATTTTCTCACTCACTTGGACTTTAGCTCCAACCTTCTTGAAGGTCATCTTCCCCAATCGCTCACAAACATGGTGAATATTGTTGGCTTTTACGCCCAGCAAAACAGACTCTCCGGGCACTTAGATGAGCTTTTCACGGCTTCTACAGTTTGGAGAATTGAGATTCTGAATTTAAGCAGTAACAGCTTTTCCGGCGTCCTGCCGCCGTCTCTTGGCAACATGTCCTACCTCACGTGCTTGGATCTTCACGAGAATGGTTTCGCCGGAGGGATTCCCGGCGAGATTGGGAATCTAACCCAGCTTGAGTATTTGGATTTGTCCAGGAACAGACTCTCTAGTCGGATCCCCGACCCAATTTGCCATCTCCCCAACTTGAAATATTTCAATTTCGCGGAGAACGATCTCGCTGATCCCGTCCCTGGAATCGGAACCTGCCAGAATCTCTCCCGTGTTTCTGCCGGCGGGTCCAGGAATTTGATATTATCAGCGGTCATGGCCGGAACTCTAACAGTCACAGTTTTGGCAGTGTTTCTGCTGAGGAGGAAGAAATGGAATCCCAAAAATGGAGGTGGAGGAAGAAGAAGAAGAGGCTTTGACGATGATGGCGACGATGATCCCGAGAAACCCAGCGGCGGCGACGGCTCAGCCATCGATCGACGCCTATACTTCCAGACAAACGCCAAATCGAAAGAGCCACCAAGCATTAACATCGCCATGTTCGAGCAATCTCTCCTGAAGATCACGCTGGTCAACATCCTCGAGGCGACCGACAACTTCTGCAGAACAAACATCATCGGCGACGGAGGGTTCAGAACCGTGTACAGGGCCACGCTCTCCGATGGGAAGACCGTCGCCGTCAAGAAGCTGAGCCACGGCAAAACCCAGGGGACCCGCGAGTTCCTGGCGGAGATGGAAACCGTGGGGAAGGTCAAGTGTAAAATAATCGGTATATAAGTTCTAGAGTTGAACTAACTAATGGATTGAATTCAATCTTTTAATATGGTTCAACCCAAGTGTCTTATTACCCAATCCAGTTGTATTTACCCCATTCTAAATTTTATCATGGTATCAGAGCAGTTTAACACGATTGCTTGTCTGGAAGTCCATACCCAGCGGCTCATGGTTCATTAGGTGTTGGCGCTCAAAAAAAAGTCAAGGGAATGGAAGTTCCTTTGCAAGTGGTCAATCGGTTAGATTCAAAATGGCCCGGTTGTCCACTTGAGGAGAAGTGTTAGAGTACATTCCAGATCGGAAATCCCAGAGTAAAATAATCGGTATATAAGCTCTAGAGTTGAACTAACTAATCGATTGGATTCAATCTTTTAATATGGTTCAACCCAAGTGTCTTATTGCCCAATCCAGTTGTATTTACCCCATTCTAAATTCTATCATCAAGCACCCGAACATAGTTCCATAGCTGGGCTACTGCACGTTCGGGGACGACAAGGTCCTGGTCTACGAGTACATGGTCAACGGGAGCTTGGACTTCTGGTTGAGGAACCAGTTGGGGCCGCTCGGGTTACTCGGGTGGGGAAAGCGGTTCAAGATCGCGGTCTGGCGTTTTTACACCACGGATTCACTCCGCATATCATCCACAGGGACATGAAGCCCGGGACATGAAGCCCAGTAACATTCTACTGGACCGGGACTTCGAGCCCAAAGTGGCGGATTTCGGCCTGGCCCGGTTTATCAGCGCGTGCAGAGGCGGATGTAGTGTTTTGGCAGTGGGGGCACATGCCCCCAGTCAACTTTGAATTTTTTTTAATTATTACCCCTAATTTTTTTAAAAATCTAATATTGCCCCCAATAAAAGATATACTTGCCCCCACTAGAAAACTAGAAACCTTATACGGAGTAATTTCAGTCTAGAATCGCAATCCACAGTCCACGGACCACAAATTGAGAGTTAACTAGTTGAGTAAGAGGCTTTCCTTCTCTTTTTGAAAGTTTGATTAGGACTTTTAGATCCAAGTTTTGAATTTGTCAAATTTTAAGAATCAATTGTGTTAAAAAGTACGGAGTAAAAACTACTGAGAAGTGTGTACTTCATGGTTTTTTGCAACTTTTTAATGTATAAATTTTAATATGATTTCTATTTTTATCATTAATAATACTCCCTCCGTCCCCAATTTGATTACAAATTGCGGGTTACGGAGTAAAATTTTCTACGTTTTGAAATCATTTTATTTACAAATTGGTATATCAATAAGATATAAAAATTACATATTAAAAAAGTATGTGAAAACAAAACAAGAGGTGACAAGAATATTTTATTTTATTAAATACTTAGTGAAATTGCGTAAATAAACAAAAGTTATCGAGAGGAGAGAGAAAAAAAATTGTAATCTATTTAGGGACGGAAGAAGTAGTATAATACTTGTATTTTTTTGCACATTATTTTTTTGGAAAAAATTGGGGGTGCTACCCAAACCCGGTAGAAGTCTCGCCCCCAGTCTCTTCAATTCCTGGATCCGCCACTGAGCGCGTGCGAGACGCACGTGAGCACGGACATCGCCGGCACGTTCGGGTACATCCCGCCGGAGTACGGGCAGACGGGGAGGTCGACGACGAGGGGTGACATGTACAGCTTCGGGGTGATCCTGCTGGAGCTGGTGAGCAGTAGGGAGCCCACCGGGCCGGAGTTCAAGGACGGCGAAGGGGGGAATCTGGTGGGCTGGGCCTCGAAGAAGATGAAGAAGGGCCAGGCCGTGGATGTTCTTGACCTGGAGATTCTGGACGCCGACTCGAAGCCCATGATGCTCCAGACACTGCAGATCGCGAGTTTATGCCTCTCCGACAATCCGGCAAGCCGGCCGACGATGCTTCAGGTGGTCAAGCTGTTGAAGGGAATCAGAGATGATTAGTTCGTGCTTAACTCAATTTATGTATTTTTATATTAAGCTAACTGTTGTTGCTATTATTGTTTTAATTAAAAATCCCACTGTGTTCATCTTTGAATTGACGACGGATAGATAAAAGGGCAGCCACATGATTGCATATTACCCATGCGCAGCAAATAATGTCCTTAGATAGATCAAGAGCTTCCAATCAATGGTGCTTATTAGAGGAGTGCAGTTGGCTCCAAATAAAATTTTAATTTTAAGTTGACTTTTCAACTTTAAATTCTAAAATTTAAAATTTAAAATTTTAATTTTTAAACTTTAACTTTTAAGTTTAAAATTTAAATTTTTAATGTTTAATTTTTTGTTTTCAATTTTTTTATTTGAATTTTTATTCTTTTTTTTTTTTAGATTTGAGTTTAATTACTTTAATATTTGATTTGTAACTTGTAATTTGATACTTTTAAATTCTAATTTTTAGTTTAAATTTATAAATTTCAAATGCTAAAATTAAAATTTAAATTTCCAAATTTTAAATTTTAAATTTTAAATTTCCAAATTTTAAATTTTAAATTTTAAATTTAAAATAATAATTTTTAGTATTTATTACAAATTCTAATTTTAAAATTTTAATTTTTTAAAATTTTAATTTTACATTTTTTATTTGAGTTTTTTTTAAGTTTTAAATTTTAATTGAAATTTATTTAATTTTAATTTTTAAGTTTTATTTTTTGTTTTAAAATTTTATATTTTTAATTTTAAGTTTTAAATTTTAAACCTTAAATTTATAATTTATAATTTTTTGTTTTTAAATTTCAATTTTTTTATGTCATTCTCCAAGCACACACAAAGTCTATAAAATCAGTTTCATTGCGATGACTCGAAAAGAATTTGCATGATTTTATTTTTCTTCCTACCAAATAATGGAAAATATGATTGTAAAATAATTTTCTTTTTTCTTCCTACCAAACAATGGAAAATATGATTGCAAAATAATTTTCTTTGAAAATAATTTTCCTTTGAAAAATATTCTTCTACGAAAATATTTAGTGAAAAACATCCGAGGGGAGTAAATGCAACTCTATAAACACTTACACGACATGATTAGTTAGATGAACAGAGAGGAGGAAGTGTTTGTTTTGAAGTTAAATGACTTTCACTCTAAACCCCCCCAAAAAAATTGTTACAACTGGAACACATATATATATCTCAAAACACCCAAATCATCAAGAAACATACAAGATTCCATGCCGATACAAAGCCAGAACCGTTGAATTCACAACGGCGCAAACAAAGACAACCCACCAAGCCATAAACAAGGGCACTTCTTTATCCAACAAAGGGCAAGGCAACAGGCTACTAACCCATGGGAAACTGCAAAGCAATGAAGAGAAGAGCACCATAGAAGCAGGCACGAAGAACTGCAAAGCCACAAGACATAGATGATGGTTGTGAAGGAAAACCTTGGCCCTGCTGTAATCCAACTCAGGGACTTTGCTGCAATGCAGTCTCTGGTACCAGCATAGAACTGCTTCATTCAAGTACATTTGGACATTTGAACGAAGAGTCACAATCTGAAGAATACCCGCAGCGAATAAACACCAGTGTCGAAATCTATCAAAGTCTGATGCCCACATTGCCAACCAGCTTGGCTGAAGCAGACTGGACTTTCTCATGATCAAGATTCTTGTTCACAAGTAGCTCCGAAAAAGGACTAATCCAAAGCAATGAGGCAAATAGGATCAACAGATAGTTAGAGTAAAGAAGCATTCTTGCAAACCACCCACAAGAGATTATAGACAAATTGCAACGAGGAACCAAAATGACCGGGCAGTCCTTGATGCAGGGGTATAGAGGAGGCCAGCCCATGAACAGGGAAGTAAGGAGCTTCCCGAAACCATCCAATGATCCAAAACCAAAATCAAGAATCCATTTAGGAACAACACCATACACTATGATCAGCCCCAGCACAAACCCGAAAATCCCAATCAGAAAACTCAATTGCTTCTCTACACTCTTCGAAGCAGACCTCAGTCCTAGCCAATAACAAAAACACCCTACACAATGCAACAAAACATCCTAACAAAACAGGAACCGCAGATCCATTTCCTAAAACCCAGGAATTCCGGGGATACCCTGGACAGCAAGAAGCAGGAAAGGGCAACACAAAAGAAAGCACCCTCGAACTCACTGAAATAAATTCTCGTTTGGAGCCTATGAGCTTCAGCTGAAAGATCTGAGCTTTATTCTCATCGAATTCGAAATTCTGCTTGGGCTTTTTCCTGGGCTTGAGTTCCGAATCGCATCCATTTGAAGAAGAAGAAGAAGAAGAAGAAGAAGAGGGATTGACGTTGTCTGGGTGGACATATGTGAAGAGGCCATTGAGAAACAGATCGAAGATGCTGAAGAAGTGGAGGAGGAGAGCGAGGGAGAAAGCGAACACCGATTGGATGATGAAGCTTCTGTATGAGGAAACAAGTGCGGGTAGAGAAGAGGGCATGACGATCTCTTATCATATATCCGGAGGAAGGCTATGGCTATTCTGGTGGGATTTGCAGTTTAGGAAAAGGGAGGAAATGGACGAGAATATGGATTCAAGAACATTGAGAGCGCTCATTCTATGAGCGATATGGATTTGATCGAAATGGTCTGTATTGGACCTCAAAAGAATGGGCTCTTTGTTGGGCTATTGAATTTCTATAATCTCTGGAACCTCGGAATCAATGTAGTTCTACCATGCGGGCCTATATGGTCCATTCGTTCCAAATTAAATATTTGTAATCATCTATTGTTAAATAAAAATTATGTAGCATATCAGTTAGATAAAAATATTTTACAAGATAAATGTATGAAAACTATTTTTATATCAATATTTGATAATTTTATTTATTTAATTTATGGACAACATTTTTTTAATTTTCAATTAAAAAAGTTCAAAACTGAACAAATACACTAAAAAGGAGATAGTAAATCCTTCTCGATGAAGAAGGTTAATTAAGTTTGTTTTTTATTTCGTTTGATTCAAAAATGGTTTAAAATTTTAAAATAAGATTTACTCTCTTTGTCTTGTACTCCATAAGACTCTAAAAAAAGTTTCACTTTATACTTTAGGAAAAAATTGTGTGGATATTATTATTTTTCTTTCCATCATTCCCAACCACAAAATTCATCTTTTTAATCTTCGTGTTTGGTCATTTATGGAATATTATTGCGGGACGAAAGGACATAATAAAATTTCTCAAATAAAAAATAACATGATTATATTATTTTTAACAACTGAGTAACGAAAATAAATAAAGAAAAAAAATTGACATTTGAATAATGATGTGAGATAATTTATTAGAGGAGCAAAAATTGATACTTCCTCCCTCAAAATAAAGTTTCTTACTTCTTTATAGGATTGTTCCAAAATAAGATTCTCCTTCCTAAAACAAAATGAAAGTTTTTTAAATAATGACTAGTGAGAAAAATAATGTTTAAGTAATTCTGAACTTTTAGTTGAATAATGACTAATAGATAATAAGCAATAGTCATACATTAGAAATAAAAACATATGATCTTATATTGAAAAAGTCATTATGTTTTAATCTTATTTAGGTAAATTACTTTTTTTATGAAATTTGCATTGATTAGGACTAAAACATAAGTCACTTCCCAAATCATTTTTTGTGTTCACAAATACTACTCCAATCCTTTATGTACTCTTCCCTGTTGGTGGAAATAACTCAACTAGTTGAGAAGGATTCCAGAGGGCAAGTACTTTACATTCAAAGTGGCAATTAAATAGTTACCGCAGCATATTTAAGGCCTGTTTGAAAATAGTTTTAGAAATTAGCGTTAACATTTTGAAAAGACTATCTAAGGGCAGCGTTTAGCGTTAGCATTTTCAAAGTAATTTGCACCGTTAAAATTTTATTCAAAACGCTATTTCCAAACATGCCCTTATTCATCCGAAAAAAAATGAGTTTTAGGCGTTTTCCGTGATCCAAATAGCATTATAAATGGCACAAATAAAATGGATTTTGACACACATGAACCAGAAGATCATCCCCACATTGGAAGCTACATTCAAATTTTAAAAAAGAAGGATATTATAAATGTTTTAAAACCATAAATAAATCTGTATACCTAAAAATGGATAAACCCTAAAAGCAAACCAAAACCAACATCAACCAAGAAGTGGAAAATTGCTAAACTTGATAACCCTATGACTGAATAGTAAGTCTTCAACATTGGTAATTGGAATAGAGGATGATAATGTGAACACTTTGCTTTTTTCATTTTCTTTTTTCTCATGGTCAAATCAGTTCCCTTTGAGCAAGTGAACAATTAACCTCGCTAGCCGCTAGAGGCTTACAATCATATTTTCAAAAAAAAAAAAAATTAAGCAGGAACCACAAAAGAAGTTTGTATGTACCAGAACTTGCCTCTTTCTCCATCATACTTGAAATAAGGGCTAAAAACAAAACTTAGCGAGCTTGGAAGAAAGATCATGAGAGGAAAGAAAGTTCAATCCTGCATCAAAATCCAGTATTCAAGAACTGAAGGGTAAAAGTACGAAGACAGAGAGGGAACAAATTGCAATTGCCTCAGCAAATGTAATAGCCCCTTATATATTTAGGGAGATATATCTATATTAGACACTGAAATAGACAAAATATTACCATGGTAATCTTACAATACCTATTAAGCTCAGCATATCCTCAGGTGGGTCATGGTTGCCATAAAGGGATATACCTGTGATCAACCACTTTTGATAACCGAAATTGGCATACCTTAAGAGACTGAAGTTACATTACTTCTGTACTACCATCATCAATTATGTACAGAACAGGAAATATTAGAGAAAACAACAAACGAAAGAACCGAAAACATGCCACTACTAAATTTGATGTGCGCCAAGATTGCATGCGTCTGGCCAGATTTAGTTGAACAAAAAAATTGTTTGAGGTTACCTGTAATCAGGACTGGACTATGATGCTCGGCCCTCTCCTCTAGGCATTTTCTTTGAGCCATGGTCTTCAACATCCTTCAACTGATAGTAGTGAGGAGCTATTTCTACCAGCCATTCAGGCTTTAGTTCTGTGACCTGTCGCATGTACTCTTTGGTGGTATGAACAAGCTCATGATAGACAACCCATCTAGGAAGAACCTGCGCCAGACCAGAGCTGGGATGGATGTGAACAGTCAAGGGAAGCTTAACGGTTCGATATGATCCATTTTTTTGAAGCCTTGCTGAGTGAGGAAAGAACCCAGATGTTATAGACTTCTTTATAGCATCTAGATCATTGAGATTTGAAGTCAACTCAATTTCTACTCTTTCTAGAAGGCCCTCTAATTGATCTCTGATGTCTCTAGCTCTCTTCATGCTTCTGACCTGTATGTAGTTTTCATAGCACCACTGGGTTGAAAAGTTAGTTTCCTTCCAGGAATTGTAAACCTTCAGTAATGCAACATGATCTCCAACATTACCCATATGGAAATTCAATCGTGCATTGTCAGCATGCACTTGTTTGTCCTTTGGACGATAAAAGATCGAATTTCCAATAGAAAGCATTGCTGCAATACTTATGATCTCATCAGAGCATTTATACTTTTCAGAAGCAACAATCATCTTCGAGAGCATAGGGTCAAGAGGGAACTCAGCCATTCTTCTGCCAACTTTTGTCAGTTCACCATGCTTACTAAGAGCACTTAGAGCAAAAAGCACTTCCAATGCTTTTAGAAG